CTTTTTTCCAAACTCAAAAATTTTCTCTCTTATAGGTTCCGCCTAACTTTTTCCGCAAATCTGGTCCTTTCGACCTAAAAATTATTGATCTGAGCTCAGAAGGCCTATACTCTTCTAGTTCAATGCAAAAGACCCGATCTAAAACGCTTTTGTAGAAAAATTTTGCGAAAAACTATGCTACCTGGACCCCTCCGGATTGATGAATCCACCAAATCAAACACGTTATGTTCGATTTCTCTGCAACCCGGAAGGCTTTCGGGTAGCGGGTTTTAAAACTCGTAGATTCACCAGTGGACGTTGTCCGATCAACTATTTTTACTGTCCTAACTCAAAGATTTCAAAAAATTTTCTGATTTTATAGTGTTTCTTACTATCAAAAAATGGGAAAATTTGGTTTTTTGTACCAAACTAGTTCCAACCACTTCCGAACTAAAGTTAACCGGTTCTACTTATTACAGTAGTGCAGTTACGATGTAACACACTAACTTAGCGCTTTTTTCCGTTTCAAAAAATATTGACACAATATGAATGTATATATTAAAAACGTATGTGTCTTGTACTCTTAGTCGGTCGCAGTACAATAGTCGAACCTGTCTTTTAAAGAAAAAGCTTTCCCTGCTTGGTGCTGCACCAAACAGACAAAACTTTGAAGGCAGTTATTTTCTCAAGTGGGCGTCTATTGCACCCACCGAGTATTGTGTTACCTACCTGCCTTCGGACTGCCCGAGCTAGACCTACTAAAATCCTCAGAGCAGTCACTTTTCCCAAAAACGTATTATGTTTCAATCCACACCAATGAGTCACGCTCTTTTTACTTTAGACTTAGTGTCGTGAATATCCGAGTTCGGACCTGTTTTGTATTAGTCTGGTTCTTTTTGAAAGGCAAGTTACCAGTGCAGTCACTGATACCTAGCCTGTGTATTAATAACCTAATACCTCTCGCTTTTTAGTCTTTCTTTCGTTTACCTAAGTCCTTAATAAAATAATACCCCTCCGGATTGGCACAAATAGGACCCTTCCGGACTGTCAGAATATGGACCCCTCCGGATTGGGACCCCTCCGAGTTAGTTAATAGTAGACCCCTCCGGATTTGGACCCCTCCGAATTAGCAACTATAAGACCCCTCCGGATTCGGACCCCTCCGGTTTTGTGGAAAGTAGACCCCTCCGGATTCGGAACCCTCTGACTTTGAAAAATTTCGACCCCTCCGGATTGGGAGCCCTTAGCTCTTTCAAAGTAGCTTTTCGTAGTTTTCTTAATTTCAGCTTATACCCCTCCGGATACGTTCTGCGTTGCTTTTATGCTGTTTGAATTAACTGGGAAGGGTATAGGGTCCTTTCCTAGACCCCTCCGGATTGAAGTTAAGGCACTTATTTGACAATTCACACTAACGGTGAAGGGTCTTATCACTTGCCTAATTTCGACTCTATTATGGTTGTCTTGTGCCTTCAGCCCTCCCTTTTTGTCTAGAACTGTCTTAAGTTACTTAGTTCAATCGCTATCAACTTTTGGTAGGGGTATAAGGGTTTTTTAGAAAAATTTATAAAACGTGAAGGGTGTACCCCTCCGGATTTGTGTAATTTGCTAAAAACAATCTCAAAATAATTTTCTCGCTCGCTTTTTCGAGTAATTCTCTTTCCTACTAGTAAGTTCTGCTAATTTCTGATCTATTGGTACCAAGATCAACTCAATATGCTCTGTAGTTCCAAAGTTATTAACCAAAACGTTTTTTTTCCAAACTCAAAAATTTTCTCTCTTATAGGTTCCGCCTAACTTTTTCCGCAAATCTGGTCCTTTCGACCTAAAAATTATTGATCTGAGCTCAGAAGGCCTATACTCTTCTAGTTCAATGCAAAAGACCCGATCTAAAACGCTTTTGTAGAAAAATTTTGCGAAAAACTATGCTACCTGGACCCCTCCGGATTGATGAATCCACCAAATCAAACACGTTATGTTCGATTTCTCTGCAACCCGGAAGGCTTTCGGGTAGCGGGTTTTAAAACTCGTAGATTCACCAGTGGACGTTGTCCGATCAACTATTTTTACTGTCCTAACTCAAAGATTTCAAAAAATTTTCTGATTTTATAGTGTTTCTTACTATCAAAAAATGGGAAAATTTGGTTTTTTGTACCAAACTAGTTCCAACCACTTCCGAACTAAAGTTAACCGGTTCTACTTATTACAGTAGTGCAGTTACGATGTAACACACTAACTTAGCGCTTTTTTCCGTTTCAAAAAATATCGATATCTCAAAAATCGCGACTTGTGGGGGGATCAAAATATCGCTATTTTGACCCTAAAAACCGGTCTGTTTTCGTTGTTTTTCACTGAAAAACGATACGATATAAGACTATTAATATAGGCTATATAAGTAATAATATTAGTAATACTATACCCCTCCGGGTTTGTTTATTATCCGAATTAAGGTGCTTAACTCGGATATTCGCAGTTCGGTGAAGGGTCACTACAGTGCAGCACTGTCGAGCCCCCCACAGATTACTACCTTACTTTTTGTACCAAAAGGGATACAAAACTTGTTAACGATACCCAACAGTCGATTGTTGTTGTCGTTGGGCCCCTTCTTGTTGCTCCTTGTACTGCTTGCCGGATCGGTCTTCACCCAGGACCCTTCCGAATTGAGCGCAAATCAGCTGACCCTTCCGGATTGAGCGCAATTTATCATTAACGTGCTTAAATGCTCAAATCCTACAGTACAAGCCTCACAAACGGGCTACAAAACTGATCATCGTAACGATCCTGACTGATATAAATGCCTGTAATAACAATATATCTATCAACAACAAACGGGGGGGGTTGAATCACATCTTGTCTGGGGGGATGATTTCTACTGATTTTTTACTTTTTTTTACTGTTTTTGGTTTTTTCGGTTATTTTTTATGTTTTTTGTTTTTCTTGGTACTATACTACTTTTTGTTTGGTTTTGCTTATATCTTTAAAAGTTTTTGGTCACAAACCACTCAGGGGATGAGGGGTTCATGATTCCCCCCACCCTTCCTGGTTCGTGAATTTTCGGTCTTAACTAGGTTAAAAAACTATTCACGGTAATCCGGAAGGCTTCCGCGTTCCGAACTACCCTTCCGCCCCGGCAGTTTAGGCCTATTAAGGGCGTTAATGTGAGCATCCGCTCGGCGCGGAGTGCTCGTTAACGGTTCCGCCGGTCATGATGTTATGAAAGAATAACACCCAGGAGCGCCATAAAAACATACATGTAACATTCGCCCGGAAGATACATATCGACGGATAACAAAACTAAGTCTTAAGACGACTGGCTAGCGTCTAAACAGAGCTTTGCATGTTTTTCACCGTCTCTACCAAGCCAGTACTTTTCGGTGGTCTTTCTTACATCAGGTCGACAAAAACGTTACTGTTCTCCGGCTTCGACCAGAACGCTCAAATTAACTGAATTACATGCAAAATTAGTGAGCTCATGGCTGGGTCTCAGTATCCCCAGACCACGAGGTCACTCCTAAAAACAGGGCTACTACTCATTATATTACTATTGTTTTTGTTCAGTAGATAAAAATCATCATCTCCATCGAAGATGGATCAACCCTTTCCCCCACTCCTAGCTTCTCATCCTTATCAAAATGAATCCAGTTATTAATTAAATTCAATTCAGGACATGACAAGAAGCTAAAAGTTTATATAAAAGGCTAAAAGTTCCAGTCCCGAAACCCTTCCGGATTCTTGAATCCAGTGAATCAAGCTCCTCAAGTTCAATTTCACGCCAATCCGGAAGGCTGGTTCTCACCCTTCACCGTTGTTGGCAACGGCCTTGCAACTATTGTAGCAGCACAATAGTTGCAACTTGGAACGTTCTCTGCAATTGTAGTTCGTTGTCGTTTTTCTTTAATCTCGATTTTCGTTCTGTTCACAATCACAGATAAAGTTGTTCTGTTTTTCTTAGTTCTTTTTGCTAAAATGGCCGTTTCTGATGTTTCTCAGAAATGTTACGTCATCACTTCGAAAATTTAAAATTTTAAAATACGGGAATATCCTGACCTTCACCGTTCTGCCAATCATCCGAATAACGTCGTTAATCCTTCGAAATCATCAACTCGGAAGGCTTACTGCTAAAAATTCGAAGTCTGCATAAATTGCATTTTGGCCATTCTGGTCGAATGTCACACTCTAAAAATCTCCCATTGGAGATACTCCACACAAGACCGATGCCATTTAACATGAAACTATTTAATAAGTTTCATGAAACTATTTAATTCTATTTAATAAGTTTATCACAACAATTTCCCTCAAGTTGGCATTGCTGAAGGTGGAGGCCTACCATTGAGTCTGCTTTCTTATGTTCCTCAATTCTAGTGGTCAAATGTCGAACAGTTTGTCCGACATAGATGGAAGTGCATCAACTACGTGACAGTTTATAAACCTCTCTTGACTTCTCTGAGGTCATCAGGCTGACTTCAGTGATGGGAAACATTTTTCTAGTTTTTTTTTGTGAAAACTAGAGTTTATATTGTTCCACATTTCTTTTTATATTATCTTGTTAGTATCCAACGGTGCTATTTTTTCTTTTGAGGGTATACAACAACAACAACACTGCGATAACCTATGGTAAGCTCTCATGGAAGGATTTCAAAGTTATTTGATTTTTTCTCTGATTTCTGTATCAATAATCTGATATTACTTTGGTTATTTAATAATGTGAAAAACTGAAATTTTGTGAAGGTAACCTGAATTTGACTTTGACTTGCTTCTTGGAATTACTTTCAATTTGCTAATAAATAGTTCTTTTTTGTTCAGTCCGATTCTATCATCGAATTTCACACTCGTCGGAAGTGTATTTTCTAGTGCGAATGCCTGTTCCCTTATTTATTAAATTACAATGGTTTTTTTGAATGGATGAAACGACAAAGAAATAGTGTAGTAGTTTCGGCTACCATGATAATTTTTGACTTCCTGGCTTATGGTGCGTTAATCTTCGTACAGAATTGTTTCTCGAGTAAGCGCATTTTTTCAGTGAGAGCAATGCATAGTTATTCATACTATTAAATCTCAATCGAGAAATGGAATCCGGAGAAACGCCAATTACTACTTTGAAACTCCTCATCATTGGAGATAGTGGAGTTGGCAAATCTAGGTCTGGTTTTTATGAGAAAATAACTTTTAATTTCATTTTAATGCTTTTCTTATGTTGGGTATTTTGTTTATTCTTAGTTTGCTTCTGCGGTTCACAGATGACAATTTTGACCCAGATCATGCTGCAACAATTGGAGTTGATTTTAAGGTCACAACATTGACAGTGAACGGCAATTCGTCAAAGCTTGCAATATGGGTGAGGTTTAGCTGTTTAAGCTTCCAATTGGCTGAAACGAGATGATTGTTTCCCAATTTTGTTTAGGATACAGCTGGACAAGAAAGGTTTCGCACACTAACTCCGAGTTATTATCGAGGAGCTCAGGGTTGTATTTTAGGTATGTGTTTTACCGATGTACCTTTTTACTAATCCGACCTTTTACCAGACCACCATACAATCTGCAATTAAGAAAAGTCAGAAATTATATAGATCCGAAAAGGAAGCAGTTGAAGCAAATAAAATTTATCTGAGAAACCGTAAAATAATTGACCCTCATTCAGCAGCCTCGGATGAGATATATCCGTAGGTTAAGTGAAGTTGTTTTTGAGCTGGTGATACGGTTTCGAGTCACGTAGTCGTCACAAAGATTTTGTCTTTTAAATATATTTTGTTTGTCCACGTTGTCTGGTTGTTTTACCCTTGCAGAGGTATTGCAGTCGGGTATGAGGCTTTTGTCCCCATACAGAACTCCGTTCACAGGATCTTCATTTTAGAACGTTGCATGTTCTACAGCTGTAGTTAAACAGCTGTTCTTGAGCTACTGAAAGGATTTTCAGTCTACAGTTGAAAAACATTGATTTTTTAGTTACTTTTTTTCCATGTCAAGTATTTCAATGTTAGAATCTAGTTTTTTGTGAATTTTTTTCTAATTTTTTTTTGCATTGAAATTCCAGTTTTTTCGGATGCAACGTTTCTGATTGTTTTTGTTTGAAAAGTGCGTGGAAATAGTTTCAATTTTACTTTTTTTTGTGGTTAAGGTTAGAGCAGTTTCATTGGAAATCGATTCTAGTTGATGTCATAGCGTATTGTTTTCATATGTCAACATTTTTTCGAAAAAGTTCACATTTTCCAGAAAGGTTTTTTTTGTAATTTTGATTTGCCTTTATACGATAGAAAGTGGCGAATGTCGCACGAGTTTCAGGAGTTTAATTCTTTCGGTTTGAAATTTTTGAAAAAAAAAGTTTTATATTTTCTCAAAATTGCGGTAAGTTTTTCGCAGCAATTGTTTGAAGTTCTTGCATTTATTTTTGAATTTTTTTTCTTTCATTTTGATTCAGTAGTGACTGGTTTATAAAAAGTAGCATTGGTAGATAACCAAGTGGCCATGAGGTGAGACTCAAAAGAGGTAGTAGGTTTCAATTAAAGGAATTTTGCGTTCAAAGTTTTTTTACTTTTTTGCTTGATTCTTAAAGCTTCATCTTGCGGTTATGTTTCTCTTGTTTGTGCATTGCATCTTTGCCTCCATGAATATTTTTTTAAAATTATTTATGCAGTTTTTCTTATGACTCAGTAAATATAACTCATATGGTTAAAGTTGACTCCTTGAATACGATGGAGGTATGTTTCAATCCTTCTAATTGAATTTTGGAAATTGAAAAAGTTGGAAGAGAAAAAAAATTTCATGGTTAACTTTGTTCAGTAGAACATGAATCTAATTGAAGTCGAAAACCAATTGGCAAAGCGATGTAAAGTTTTGAACTTCAATCCCTCCATATTGAAGAATTACCAAGAATTACCAAACATAGATCCCAGCTACCCCCGTGGATTTCCAATGTTACATCAAATCTTATGAATAAGCTGAAAACAATGAAAAAACGAAAAAGTGTAACTCTTAGCAAATTGATTAAACTCAAACGCCTTGAAAAGCAAATCTAATTTGAATCCGAGAAAGACCTCGCTGAATATGAAAAATCAGTATTTGAAGGAAGAACGTTTAGTAAAATACAAAAATACTTGAAATTTATACGAAAAACACCCTCAATTCGCCCAACAGTAAATTTTGATAAAACAGTAGCGTCAATAAATGTTGAAAAGGCTGAAGTTTTTAATCAATACTTCGCGTCGGTCTTCAGTAAATCTAATATGCAGCCTGGATATGAATCAAATAACATATTAAACACAGCTAACTACACTGAAGAACAAAAAACCGACATATTGTTTGAACTTAATCCTGACAAATCAACTGGACCCGATAAAATTGGAAACACACTTTTAAAAAAGTGTCACAAAACCCTGTGTAAATCACTAAAACTGATCTTTCGAACATGAATAAACAAACAATGTTACCCCAGCTACTGAAAAATATGCCAAATAACACCAATATTCAAAGAGGGCAACAAAGCTGATGTAACTTGCTACCGTCCCATCAGACTCCTATGTTGTTGCTCAAAAGTCTTAGGAAAACTCCTTTTTGATAAAATTTATTGTTTCTTTCATTCAAAACTCCACACTAGTCAACACGGCTTCAGAAAAAGACGATCGGCGACACTGCAACTAATATACTTTCTCGACAAAATATACGAATGCAAAGATATTGAATCTGTCAATGAGTTAAGTGTTCTTTATCTCGACTTTGCTAAAGCGTTTGACACAGTACCGAGTAGTGTGCTAATTAGCAAATTAAGGTCTCTTGGAATTAGTGGAAACATCTTAGGACTTCTAAAATCATACTTAAGCCAACGCAAGCAATACGTGCAAATAAGCGGCGCAAAATCAACCCTAAGAAATGTAACCAGCAGTGTTCCCCAAGGATCAGTTCTGGGTCCCCTTCTCTTTCTGCATTATTAATAATCTTCCAGAGTGTATGTCCGATATGGACAGTTTCGGGTATGCTGATGATTTCAAAGTAATCGGAACAAATCAAGTAGCGATGAACAAGGCGACCGATAACATCCAAGCCTGGCTTAATACAAATATGATGCTACCAAACACAAAAAATTCGCATACTCTTAACATCAAAGGAAACCTTGAAGCACACTTATGCAATGCCAAACTCATCCCCGTAAAGTCGCAACGTGACCTAGGGCTCATAGTGCAGCAAAACCTAAGTTGGAATGAAAATTGCAAACGCAGATCGAACACTGCAATGAGCGCCTTATTCCAAATAAAGCGCAATCTAACATCAAATTGTAACTGGAGAATCAAATTGAATGCATACACTGGATACATTGTCCCAATTGCTGTATATGCTTCTCAGACATGGTTACCAAATAAAGGAAATTTAGCAGAATTCGAAAAAGTTCGACATCATGCAACAAAATGGATAATAGGTTCTGACTTAAGCTATCGAAATCGGTTAATAAAATTGCATATCCTTCCGTTAAGTCTGTATGTTGAATTGCATGATCTCTTAATGCTTTTATCTATTAAAACAGGTGAATTTGATGTTGAAAGTTCAATTGAAATTGAGACAATATGCGATAATACTCGACAGAGCAATCGAGGTGAATTCAAATTATCGAAACCGCTGAATAAAACCAACGAAAACTTCTTTCGAAGGACGAAACTACTCTACAACTACGTTTTTCGCGTTTATAAAAGTTTCGGGAAATTTCTAAATAAAGCTACTACTAGAACATTTACTGGAACTTTTTCACTAAACAATACACCGAAGAAAATAAATGTACTTGTAGAGTAATATGCAGATGTGGCAACTGCAATCCTCTCAGTAAAATAAAACTGAACTGAAGATGAACTAAAAAATGGGTGAAAACCCTTGAAACTCTCTAAATTCTGTTTTATTATTATTATGATTATTATTTCTATAAGTGGAGTTGTATTATCAAACACTTCTAATTTTCTAAGAAAAGCTACATATATCATTGAACAGTTTTGTGCAACGTCTGTTCTGCTTTACCGAAGCAGTCTGAGAAGAGTTACAGCGGCTTAACTAAAGTTCAAACGTAGTCCTGTCTGTTTGTTTATGTTTTTAAATGGGCGCAAATTTCGTAGTTGGTGGCGGAAAGGAAGTGACTTTTGATTAGAAGTTTCGTTTTGAATAACTAAGTTGTGAGAATTTTTGTCTTGAAAGACAGATTTAATTTTTATACAAGCATTCTTGCATGCGTTTTGTTATACAGTCAGTTCTCTTGCTTTCCTGGGGTCTGGCGTTGGAAAGATAAGGATGGCAATTAATCGAATGGTCAAGGCATGGGACTCAAAGTCTGAAAGTAGTGTTTTTGATCCGTGCAGGATTATTTTTGCTTTTAAAACTATAGTGCGGCAATCAACGTTGTTAAGTTGCTTCATAGGGCGTGATGATTTGTTCTTTTTTGGGACTTTTTTGGAAATTTGGATTGAATTTGTTTTCTTTTACTTGAGTTCATTGCCATTATTTAAAGCAGGGCGAAGTCCACTATTGAACAGCATAAGAGTAAAGGTCACAAAAATATTATAAGTTTCTAGTTTCGAAAGTGGATTCCAGTATTCGATTTCCTCAGCGAACAAGAAGTAATTCAGTTTTTTCAAAATGGGTTAATTTTATTTAAAAATGAAAGATCTTTAAGGCCATATAATTTTTCTTGGAATTTTGAAGCAATTGTTGTTGCTTCTAAAAGCAAGTATTTTTTTTCTGTTTGCTCTCCTTCATTGAGCTTTGTCCAACTATCTGTTGACTATCTTATACTTCTTTTGAATCTGGAATTTTCATTGCTCTTGTTTTGTTTGTGTTAGCGAAGTGCAGCTTTGCCTATTTTTCAATACCCTTTTCTCAATTTTTCCTGTCGTTCGTAGCTTTTTTGTGCAGGTAAAACTTTTCTTCTGCAGTAAAATTTTTATGACGTAATCAATAATGCTCAACTTCAATCCTTCCATAAGTGGAGGTTGTATTATCAAACGATTCAAAGTTTGTCCTAGCAAAGCTACATGTATCATTGAACAGTTTTGTGCGAAATCGGTTCTGCTTTACCTAAGCAACCTGAAATGAGTTATAGCGGCATGACGAAAGTTTAAACGTATTCCTGTCTGTTTGCTCATGTTTTTAAATGGGCGCCAATTTTGTAGTAAATGGGCGCCAATTTCGTAGCTTGTATATTTTATTTTAAAATGAAAGATCTTTAAGGCCATATAATTTTTCTTGGAATTTTGAAGCAATTGTTGTTGCTTCTAAAAGCAAGTAATTTTTTTCTGTTTGCTCCTTCATTGAGCTTTGTCCAACTGTCTGTTGACTATGTTATACTTCTTTTGAATCTGGAATTTTCATTGCTCTGTTTTTGTTTGTGTTAGCGAAGTGCAGCTTTGCCTATTTTTCAATACCCTTTTCTCAATTTTTCCTGTCGTTCGTAGCTTTTTTGTGCAGGTAAAACTTTTCTTCTGCAGTAAAATTTTTATGACGTAATC